CCTTCAAAAACATTCCCCTCCTCGGTATGCTCCTATAAATAAATGGATGATTTAGATTCTGGATACCGGCAGACCAGAGTCGAATGTATGGAAGACCAACTCAACGCGGATATTCTCAAGTATCAACGTACCTTGAAGATCTACAAACGACTCGATAAAGTAGTGTCTATAACACAAGGTGTGTGTTCCGTAGCCAGTTTGATGTTGACCAGCTGCACCATGGGTTCAGCTTTGACCGGTATAGGTATTATAGCCTCCCTTCCCCTAGGATCCCTTGCTTGCTTGAGTGCCACTGGCGTGATGGTACTCACACTGATCTCAGGGCGTATCATGAAAAAGAAGAAAAAACACCGCGACACCTAGCGATTGGCACAGTCCACAAAATCCTTGGATGAACAATGTATTAGTACTGCTTTGGCTGATGATGAACAAATTGATGATGCCGAGTTTGATAAGATCGAAAGCTGCCTCAAAAATTACTATGGTGAGAAAATTCAGCTGCGACAACCTTCCACCACTTTTAGTGAGGACCATAATGCGCATGCGCCGTAAAAACGTCACACATCATTCCATTACGCTTCACTACACACATCGTTTCACGATGTGCTCCATTCTGCTTCATTTCACGATGTGCTCCGTTTAAAGCATAAAAAAAAAAAAAAAAACAAAAAAACTTTCCGATCCGGCAGAAATGACGGATTGCAAAATTTTTTTTGTACCTCACCCACCCCATTTTTTATTTTTTTTTTTTGAATTAATTTCTCACAAGATCGCAAGAAAAGTACTCCTGTTTGGTCTTTTTACTAACTTTTAAGCCTGTACTTCTCACGAAGGCTCCTTCCAAGGGTTCCTTCTCTCTGTTCAGACTACTGCAGGCCCATACCCTTGTCGTTTCTCCTTCTTTGTTTTTCAAGGTGAGGATCTTACTCCTCCCAAACTTCCCATCTACTTCTACCACTTCTAGGATTTTATATTTTACCCAGGTTGGGAGTTCCTTCCATTTTAGGGTTTCCAGGCTCTGGTCCTTTGCCTTTTCCTCGAAAACATTATCATTAATAAAATCGTCGTCTACGATTTTTGAACTTCTGAGTTCCTCCATCTTTTGTACGAAAGCCATATTTTTGTATCTACCCCTAGGATTACATCCCTTTAAGGTGTCTCTACTATTGTTTACAAAAAGCCATATTCTTGTTTCCACCCTTAGACTATTGAAACACAATGCATTTGCATTTTATGTTTGCGGTTGGGGTCCCTATGCAGGATTTGTGTTTAAAAATGGCAAGTGCGGCAGAATCCCCCTTTTTACACTACAATCCACCATTATTTTTCTGTAGAAGCCATGGAATAGGCCAACCCCCTGTTTTAAACATTTTTTTTTTAATTTTGAGCTCTAGTTTCAATTTTTTTTAACATGGCGCCCTTCGATACCTTGCGCAAAAGATGCGCCTATTTCTCCTCTACAAGATCTATATAGTCATACCCCGTGACACCCCTCCTTATTTTTCTCTAGAAGCCATGGAATAGGCCAACCCCCCTTTTTTAACAATTTTTTTTTCAAATTTTGAGCTCTAGTTTCAGATTTTTGAACATAGGGCCCTTCGATACCTTGCGCAAAAGATGCGCCTGTTTCTCTTCTACAAGACCTATATAGTCATACCCCGTGACACCCCTCATTATTTTTCTCTAGAAACCAAGGACCCCTCATTATTTTTCTGTGGAAGCCAAGGAATAGGCCAACCCCCTGTTTTTAACAATTTATTTTTCAAATTTTGAGCTCTAGTTTCAAATTTTTCAACATAGCGCCCTTCAATACCGTGCGCAAAAGATGCGCCTTTTTCTTCCCTACAAGGCCTATATAGTCAAACCCCGTGACACCCCTCATTATTTTTCCTTGGAAGCCATGGAATAGGCCAACCCCCCTGTTTTTAACACTTTTTTTGAAATTTTGAGCTCTAGTTTCAGATTTTTTAACATAGCGCCCTTCAAAACCTTGCGCAAGAGATGCGCCTGTTTCTCTTCTACAAGACCTATATTGTCATACCCCGTGACACCCCTCATTATTTTTCTGTAGAAGCCATGGAATAGGCCAACCCCCCTGTTTTTAATATTTGTTTTTCAAATTTTGAGCTCTAGTTTCAGATTTTTGAACATAGCGCCCTTCGATACCTTGCGCAAAAGATGCGCCTGTTTCTCTTCTACAAGACCTATATAGTCATACCCCGTGAAACCCCTCATTATTTTTCCCTAGAAGCCATTGAATAGGCCAACCCCCTGTTTTTAACAATTTTTTTTTCGAATTTTGAGCTCTAGTTTCAGATTTTTGAACATAGCGCCCTTCAATACCTTGCGCAAAAGATGCGCCTGTTTCTCCTCTACAAGTCCTATATAGTCATACCCCGTGACACCCCTCATTATTTTTCTCTAGAAACCATGGAATAGGCCAACCCTCCTATTTTTAACAATTTTTTTTCAAATTTTGAGCTCTAGTTTCAGATTTTTGAACATAGCGCCCTTCGATACCTTGCGCAAAAGATGCGCCTGTTTCTCCTCTACAAGACTTATATAGTCATACCCTGTGACACCCCTCATTATTTTTCTCTAGAAGCCATGGAATAGGCCATTTCCCCATTGTTTTTAACAATTTTTTTTCAAATTTTGAGCTTTAGTTTCAGATTTTTGAACATAGCGCCCTTCGATATCCTGCGCAAAAGATGCGCCTGTTTCTCCTCTACAAGACCTATATAGTCATACCCCGTGACACTCCTCATTATTTTTCTCTAGAAACCATGGAATTGGCCAACCCCCGTGTTTTTAACAATTTTATTCAAATTTTGAGCTCTAGTTTCAGATTTTTGAACATAGCGCCCTTCGATACCTCGCACAAGAGATGCACCTGTTTCTCCTCTACAAGACCTATATAGTCATACCCCGTGACACCCCTCATTATTTTTCTGTGGAAGCCATGGAATAGGCCAACCCCCTCTTTTTAACAATTTATTTTTCAAATTTTGAGCTCTAGTTTCAGATTTTTTAACATAGCGCCCTTCGATACCTTGCGCAAAAGATGCGCCTGTTTTTCTTCTACAAGACCTATATAGTCATACCCCGTGACACCCCTCATTATTTTTCTCTAGAAGCCATGGAATAGGCCAACCCCCCTGTTTTAAACACTTTTTTTCAAATTTTGAGCTCTAGTTTCAGATTTTTGAACATAGCGCCCTTCGATAACTTGTGCAAAAGATGCGCCTATTTCTCCTCTACAAGACCTATATAGTCAAACCCCGTGACACCCCTCATTATTTTTCTGTGGAAGCCATGGAATAGGCCAACCCCCTCTTTTTAACAATTTATTTTTCAAATTTTGAGCTCTAGTTTCAGATTTTTTAACATAGCGCCCTTCGATACCTTGCGCAAAAGATGCGCCTGTTTTTCTTCTACAAGACCTATATAGTCATACCCCGTGACACCCCTCATTATTTTTCTCTAGAAGTCATGGAATAGGCCATTCCCCCTGTTTTTAACAAATTTTTTCAAATTTTGAGCTCTAGTTTCAGATTTTTGAACATAGCGCCCTTCGATAACTTGCGCAAAAGATGCGCCTGTTTCTCCTCTACAAGACCTATATAGTCAAACCCCGTGACACCCCTCATTATTTTTCTGTGGAAGCCATGGAATAGGCCAACCCCCTCTTTTTAACAATTTATTTTTCAAATTTTGAGCTCTAGTTTCAGATTTTTTAACATAGCGCCCTTCGATACCTTGCGCAAAAGATGCGCCTGTTTTTCTTCTACAAGACCTATATAGTCATACCCCGTGACACCCCTCATTATTTTTCTCTAGAAGCCATGGAATAGGCCAACCCCCCTGTTTTAAACACTTTTTTTCAAATTTTGAGCTCTAGTTTCAGATTTTTGAACATAGCGCCCTTCGATACCTTGCGCAAAAGATGCGCCTGTTTCTCCTCTACAAGACTTATATAGTCATACCCTGTGACACCCCTCATTATTTTTCTCTAGAAGCCATGGAATAGGCCATTTCCCCTGTTTTTAACAATTTTTTTTCAAATTTTGAGCTTTAGTTTCAGATTTTTGAACATAGCGCCCTTCGATATCCTGCGCAAAAGATGCGCCTGTTTCTCCTCTACAAGACCTATATAGTCATACCCCGTGACACTCCTCATTATTTTTCTCTAGAAACCATGGAATTGGCCAACCCCCGTGTTTTTAACAATTTTATTCAAATTTTGAGCTCTAGTTTCAGATTTTTGAACATAGCGCCCTTCGATACCTCGCACAAGAGATGCACCTGTTTCTCCTCTACAAGACCTATATAGTCATACCCCGTGACACCCCTCATTATTTTTCTCTAGAAGCCATGGAATAGGCCAACCCCCCTGTTTTAAACACTTTTTTTCAAATTTTGAGCTCTAGTTTCAGATTTTTGAACATAGCGCCCTTCGATACCTTGCGCAAAAGATGCGCCTGTTTCTCCTCTGCAAGACCTATATAGACATACCCCGTGACACCCCTCATTATTTTTCTCTAGAAACCATTGAAAAGGCCAACCCCCCTGTTTTTAACAATTTTTTTCAAATTTTGTCCTCTAGTTTCAGATTTTTGAACATAGCGCCCTTCGATACCCTGCGCAAAAGATGCGCCTGTTTCTCCTCTACAAGACCTATATAGACATACCCCGTGACACCCCTCATTATTTTTCTGTAGAAACCATGGAATAGGCCAACCCCCCTGTTTTTAACATTTCTTTTCAAATTTGAGCTCTAGTTTCAGATTTCTGAACATAGCGCCCTTCGATACCTTGCGCAAAAGATACGCCTGTTTCTCTCCTACAAGACCTATATAGTCATACCCCGTGACACCCCTCATTATTTTTCCCTAGAAGCATTGAATAGGCCAACCCCCTGTTTTTAACAATTTTTTTTTTCAAATTTTGAGCTCTAGTTTCAGATTTTTGAAAATAGCGCCCTTCGATACCTTGCCCAAAAGATGAACCTGTTTCTCCTCTACAAGACCTATATAGACATACCCCGTGACACCCCTCATTATTTTTCTCTAGAAACCAAGGACCCCTCATTATTTTTCTCTAGAAACCAAGGAATAGGCCAACCCCCTGTTTTTAACAATTTTTTTGAAATTTTGAGCTCTTGTTTCAGATTTTTTAACATAGCGCCCTTCAAAACCTTGCGCAAGAGATGCGCCTGTTTCTCTTCTACAAGACCTATATTGTCATACCCCGTGACACCCCTCATTATTTTTCTGTAGAAGCCATGGAATAGGCCAACCCCCCTGTTTTTAATATTTTTTTTTCAAATTTTGAGCTCTAGTTTCAGATTTTTGAACATAGCGCCCTTCGATACCTTGCGCAAAAGATGCGCCTGTTTCTCTTCTACAAGACCTATATAGACATACCCCGTGACACCCCTCATTATTTTTCCCTAGAAGCCATTGAATAGGCCAACCCCTTGTTTTTACCATTTTTTTTTTTCTTTTGAGCTCTAGTTTCAGATTTTTGAACATAGCGCCCTTCAATACCTTGCGCAAAAGATGCGCCTGTTTCTCCTCTACAAGACCTATATAGTCATACCCCGTGACACTCCTCATTATTTTTCTCTAGAAACCATGGAATTGGCCAACCCCCGTGTTTTTAACAATTTTATTCAAATTTTGAGCTCTAGTTTCAGATTTTTGAACATAGCGCCCTTCGATACCTCGCACAAGAGATGCACCTGTTTCTCCTCTACAAGACCTATATAGTCATACCCCGTGACACCCCTCATTATTTTTCTGTGGAAGCCATGGAATAGGCCAACCCCCTCTTTTTAACAATTTATTTTTCAAATTTTGAGCTCTAGTTTCAGATTTTTTAACATAGCGCCCTTCGATACCTTGCGCAAAAGATGCGCCTGTTTTTCTTCTACAAGACCTATATAGTCATACCCCGTGACACCCCTCATTATTTTTCTCTAGAAGCCATGGAATAGGCCAACCCCCCTGTTTTAAACACTTTTTTTCAAATTTTGAGCTCTAGTTTCAGATTTTTGAACATAGCGCCCTTCGATAACTTGTGCAAAAGATGCGCCTATTTCTCCTCTACAAGACCTATATAGTCAAACCCCGTGACACCCCTCATTATTTTTCTGTGGAAGCCATGGAATAGGCCAACCCCCTCTTTTTAACAATTTATTTTTCAAATTTTGAGCTCTAGTTTCAGATTTTTTAACATAGCGCCCTTCGATACCTTGCGCAAAAGATGCGCCTGTTTTTCTTCTACAAGACCTATATAGTCATACCCCGTGACACCCCTCATTATTTTTCTCTAGAAGTCATGGAATAGGCCATTCCCCCTGTTTTTAACAAATTTTTTCAAATTTTGAGCTCTAGTTTCAGATTTTTGAACATAGCGCCCTTCGATAACTTGCGCAAAAGATGCGCCTGTTTCTCCTCTACAAGACCTATATAGTCAAACCCCGTGACACCCCTCATTATTTTTCTGTGGAAGCCATGGAATAGGCCAACCCCCTCTTTTTAACAATTTATTTTTCAAATTTTGAGCTCTAGTTTCAGATTTTTTAACATAGCGCCCTTCGATACCTTGCGCAAAAGATGCGCCTGTTTTTCTTCTACAAGACCTATATAGTCATACCCCGTGACACCCCTCATTATTTTTCTCTAGAAGCCATGGAATAGGCCAACCCCCCTGTTTTAAACACTTTTTTTCAAATTTTGAGCTCTAGTTTCAGATTTTTGAACATAGCGCCCTTCGATACCTTGCGCAAAAGATGCGCCTGTTTCTCCTCTACAAGACTTATATAGTCATACCCTGTGACACCCCTCATTATTTTTCTCTAGAAGCCATGGAATAGGCCATTTCCCCTGTTTTTAACAATTTTTTTTCAAATTTTGAGCTTTAGTTTCAGATTTTTGAACATAGCGCCCTTCGATATCCTGCGCAAAAGATGCGCCTGTTTCTCCTCTACAAGACCTATATAGTCATACCCCGTGACACTCCTCATTATTTTTCTCTAGAAACCATGGAATTGGCCAACCCCCGTGTTTTTAACAATTTTATTCAAATTTTGAGCTCTAGTTTCAGATTTTTGAACATAGCGCCCTTCGATACCTCGCACAAGAGATGCACCTGTTTCTCCTCTACAAGACCTATATAGTCATACCCCGTGACACCCCTCATTATTTTTCTCTAGAAGCCATGGAATAGGCCAACCCCCCTGTTTTAAACACTTTTTTTCAAATTTTGAGCTCTAGTTTCAGATTTTTGAACATAGCGCCCTTCGATACCTTGCGCAAAAGATGCGCCTGTTTCTCCTCTGCAAGACCTATATAGACATACCCCGTGACACCCCTCATTATTTTTCTCTAGAAACCATTGAAAAGGCCAACCCCCCTGTTTTTAACAATTTTTTTCAAATTTTGTCCTCTAGTTTCAGATTTTTGAACATAGCGCCCTTCGATACCCTGCGCAAAAGATGCGCCTGTTTCTCCTCTACAAGACCTATATAGACATACCCCGTGACACCCCTCATTATTTTTCTGTAGAAACCATGGAATAGGCCAACCCCCCTGTTTTTAACATTTCTTTTCAAATTTGAGCTCTAGTTTCAGATTTCTGAACATAGCGCCCTTCGATACCTTGCGCAAAAGATACGCCTGTTTCTCTCCTACAAGACCTATATAGTCATACCCCGTGACACCCCTCATTATTTTTCCCTAGAAGCATTGAATAGGCCAACCCCCTGTTTTTAACAATTTTTTTTTTCAAATTTTGAGCTCTAGTTTCAGATTTTTGAAAATAGCGCCCTTCGATACCTTGCCCAAAAGATGAACCTGTTTCTCCTCTACAAGACCTATATAGACATACCCCGTGACACCCCTCATTATTTTTCTCTAGAAACCAAGGACCCCTCATTATTTTTCTCTAGAAACCAAGGAATAGGCCAACCCCCTGTTTTTAACAATTTTTTTGAAATTTTGAGCTCTTGTTTCAGATTTTTTAACATAGCGCCCTTCAAAACCTTGCGCAAGAGATGCGCCTGTTTCTCTTCTACAAGACCTATATTGTCATACCCCGTGACACCCCTCATTATTTTTCTGTAGAAGCCATGGAATAGGCCAACCCCCCTGTTTTTAATATTTTTTTTTCAAATTTTGAGCTCTAGTTTCAGATTTTTGAACATAGCGCCCTTCGATACCTTGCGCAAAAGATGCGCCTGTTTCTCTTCTACAAGACCTATATAGACATACCCCGTGACACCCCTCATTATTTTTCCCTAGAAGCCATTGAATAGGCCAACCCCTTGTTTTTACCATTTTTTTTTTTCTTTTGAGCTCTAGTTTCAGATTTTTGAACATAGCGCCCTTCAATACCTTGCGCAAAAGATGCGCCTGTTTCTCCTCTACAAGACCTATATAGTCATACCCCGTGACACCCCTCATTATTTTTCTCTAGAAACCATGGAATAGGCCAACCCTCCTGTTTTTAACAATTTTTTTTCAAATTTTGAGCTCTAGTTTCAGATTTTTGAACATAGCGCCCTTCGATACCTTGCGCAAAAGATGCGCCTGTTTCTCCTCTACAAGACCTATATAGTCATACCCTGTGACACCCCTCATTATTTTTCTCTAGAAGCCATGGAATAGGCCATTTCCCCATTGTTTTTAACAATTTTTTTTCAAATTTTGAGCTTTAGTTTCAGATTTTTTAACATAGCGCCCTTCGATACCTTGCGCAAAAGATGTGCCTGTTTCTCCTCTAAAAGACCTATATAGTCATACCCCGTGACACCCCTCATTATTTTTCTCTAGAAACCATGGAATAGGCCAACCCCCGTGTTTTTAACAATTTTATTCAAATTTTGAGCTCTAGTTTCAGATTTTTGAACATAGCGCCCTTCGATACCTCGCACAAGAGATTTGCCTGTTTCTCCTCTACAAGACCTATATAGTCATACCCCGTGACACCCCTCATTATTTTTCTCTAGAAGCCATGGAATAGGCCAACCCCCCTGTTTTTAACACTTTTTTTCAAATTTTGAGCTCTAGTTTCAAATTTTTGAACATAGCGCCCTTCGATACCTTGCGCAAAAGATGCGCCTGTTTCTCCTCTACAAGACCTATATAGACATACCCCGTGACACCCCTCATTATTTTTCTGTAGAAACCATGGAATAGGCCAACCCCCCTGTTTTTAACAATTTTTTTCAAATTTTGAGCTCTAGTTTCAGATTTTTGAACATAGCGCTCTTCGATACCTTGCGCAAGAGATGCGCCTGTTTCTCCTCTACAAGACCTTTATAGTCATACCCGGTGACACCCCTCATTATTTTTCTCTAGAAGCCATGGAATAGGCCAACCCCCTGTTTTTAACAATTTTTTTCAAATTTTGAGCTCTAGTTTCAGATTTTTGAACATAGCGCCTTTCGAAACCTTGCGCAAGAGATGCGCCTGTTTCTCTTCTACAAGACCTATATTGTCATACCCCGTGACACTCCTCATTATTTTTCTCTAGAACCCATGGAATAGGCCAACCCCCCTGTTTTTAACATTTCTTTTCAAATTTGAGCTCTAGATTCAGATTTTTGAACATAGCGCCCTTCGATACCTTGCGCAAAAGATACGCCTGTTTCTCTCCTACAAGACCTATATAGTCATACCCCGTGACACCCCTCATTATTTTTCCCTAGAAGCATTGAATAGGCCAACCCCCTGTTTTTAACAATTTTTTTTTTCAAATTTTGAGCTCTAGTTTCAGATTTTTGAACATAGCGCCCTTCGATACCTTGCGCAAAAGATGCGCCTGTTTCTCCTCTACAAGACCTATATAGACATACCCCGTGATACCCCTCATTATTTTTCTCTAGAAACCATGGACCCCTCATTATTTTTCTCAAGAAACCACGGAATAGGCCAACCCCCCTGTTTTTAACAATTTTTTTTCAAATTTTGAGCTCTAGTTTCAGATTTTTGAACATAGCGCCCTTCGATACCTTGCGCAAGAGATGCGCCTGTTTCTCCTCTACAAGACCTATATTGTCATACCCCGTGACATCCTTCATTATTTTTCTCTAGACGCCATGGAATAGGCCAACCCCCTGTTTTTAATTTTTTTTTTTCAAATTTTGAGCTCTAGTTTCAGATTTTTGAACAAAGCGCCCTTCGTTACCTTGCGCAAAAGATGCGCTTGTTTCTCTTCTACAAGACCTATATAGTCATACCCCGTGACACCCCTCATTATTTTTCTCTAGAACCCATGGAATAGGCCATTCCCCCTGTTTTTAACAATTTTTTTTCAAATTTTGAGCTCTAGTTTCAGATTTTTGAACATAGCGCCCTTCGATACCTTGCGCAAAAAATGCGCCTGTTTCTCCTCTACAAGACCTATATAGTCATACCCCGTGACATCCCTCATTATTTTTCTGTGGAAGCCATGGAATAGGCCAACCCCCCTGTTTTTAAGAAATTTTTTTTCAAATTTTGAGCTCTAGTTTCAGATTTTTGAACATAGCGCCCTTCAATACCTTGCGCAAAAGATGCGCCTGTTTCTCCTCTACAAGGCCTATATAGTAATACCCCGTGACGCTCCTCATTATTTTTCTCTAGAAGCCATGGAATAAGGACAACCCCCTGTTTTTAACACTTTTTTTTCAAATTTTGAGCTCTAGTTTCAGATTTTTGAACATAGTGCCCTTCGATACCTTGCGCAAAAGATGCGCCTGTTTCTCTTCTAAAAGACCTTTATAGACATACCCCGTGACATCCCTCATTGTTTTTCTCGAGAAACCATGGAATAGGCCAACCCCCCTGTTTTTAACAATTTTTTTCAAATTTTGAGCTCTAGTTTCAGATTTTTGAACATAGCGCCCTTCGATATCTTGCGCAAGAGATGCGCCTGTTTCTCCTCTACAAGACCTATATAGTCATACTCCGTGACACCCCTCATTATTTTTCTCTAGAAGCCATGGACTAGGCCAACCCCCCTGTTTTTAACAATTTTTTTCAAATTTTTAGCTCTAGTTTCAGATTTTTGAACATAGCGCCCTTCGATACCTTGCGCAAAAGATGCGCCTGTTTCTCCTCTACAAGACCTATATAGTCATACCCCGTGACACCCCTCATTATTTTTCTCTAGAAGCCATGGAATAGGCCATTTCCCCTGTTTTTAACAAAAAAATTTCAAATTTTGAGCTCTAGTTTCAGATTTTTGAACATAGCGCCCTTCGATACCTTGCGCAAAAGATGCGCCTGTTTCTCCTCTACAAGACCTATATAGACATACCCCGTGATACCCCTCATTATTTTTCTCTAGAAACCATGGACCCCTCATTATTTTTCTCAAGAAACCACGGAATAGGCCAACCCCCCTGTTTTTAACAATTTTTTTTCAAATTTTGAGCTCTAGTTTCAGATTTTTGAACATAGCGCCCTTCGATACCTTGCGCAAGAGATGCGCCTGTTTCTCCTCTACAAGACCTATATTGTCATACCCCGTGACATCCTTCATTATTTTTCTCTAGACGCCATGGAATAGGCCAACCCCCTGTTTTTAATTTTTTTTTTTCAAATTTTGAGCTCTAGTTTCAGATTTTTGAACAAAGCGCCCTTCGTTACCTTGCGCAAAAGATGCGCTTGTTTCTCTTCTACAAGACCTATATAGTCATACCCCGTGACACCCCTCATTATTTTTCTCTAGAACCCATGGAATAGGCCATTCCCCCTGTTTTTAACAATTTTTTTTCAAATTTTGAGCTCTAGTTTCAGATTTTTGAACATAGCGCCCTTCGATACCTTGCGCAAAAAATGCGCCTGTTTCTCCTCTACAAGACCTATATAGTCATACCCCGTGACATCCCTCATTATTTTTCTGTGGAAGCCATGGAATAGGCCAACCCCCCTGTTTTTAAGAAATTTTTTTTCAAATTTTGAGCTCTAGTTTCAGATTTTTGAACATAGCGCCCTTCAATACCTTGCGCAAAAGATGCGCCTGTTTCTCCTCTACAAGGCCTATATAGTAATACCCCGTGACGCTCCTCATTATTTTTCTCTAGAAGCCATGGAATAAGGACAACCCCCTGTTTTTAACACTTTTTTTTCAAATTTTGAGCTCTAGTTTCAGATTTTTGAACATAGTGCCCTTCGATACCTTGCGCAAAAGATGCGCCTGTTTCTCTTCTAAAAGACCTTTATAGACATACCCCGTGACATCCCTCATTGTTTTTCTCTAGAAACCATGGAATAGGCCAACCCCCCTGTTTTTAACAATTTTTTTCAAATTTTGAGCTCTAGTTTCAGATTTTTGAACATAGCGCCCTTCGATATCTTGCGCAAGAGATGCGCCTGTTTCTCCTCTACAAGACCTATATAGTCATACTCCGTGACACCCCTCATTATTTTTCTCTAGAAGCCATGGACTAGGCCAACCCCCCTGTTTTTAACAATTTTTTTCAAATTTTTAGCTCTAGTTTCAGATTTTTGAACATAGCGCCCTTCGATACCTTGCGCAAAAGATGCGCCTGTTTCTCCTCTACAAGACCTATATAGTCATACCCCGTGACACCCCTCATTATTTTTCTCTAGAAGCCATGGAATAGGCCATTTCCCCTGTTTTTAACAAAAAAATTTCAAATTTTGAGCTCTAGTTTCAGATTTTTGAACATAGCGCCCTTCGATACCTTGCGCAAAAGATGCGCCTGTTTCTCCTCTACAAGACCTATATAGTCATAGCCCGTGACACCCCTCATTATTTTTCTCAAGAAGCCATGGAATAGGCCAACCCCCATTTCTGCAAATGTGTATCTTAGTTCAATTTAACAATGACATCAAAGGTGCTGTATTTTACAGGGAAGGACTACTTTTACATATGTACTAAATGGAAGTAGGTGCATTGGTGGTTTTACACCTACAAATAATCCGTTGACAGATGCAGATTTACTGTGGTACTGAATATTAGACTAAAAAGAGATGTGACTTGTTTTATCAATGGATGGGATAAATACCATTTCATGATAGAGTTGAAATTGCAATATTTGGACGGAATTTCTGCCTGTTTAAATATTTTTCATTTAACGGCCGTTGCTGTCTTATTCATTTTTTCGGTTTTTAGATATATCGCATTATTGTTCGCTGGCTTATTGTTCGCTAGTTATTGTTCGCTAGCTTCAGCCTGGTGTTTTTAAATACGTTAATCCGATAGCAATAACTTATAATATTTACACATGCAGTTACATGGAGTCGTGATGATATATCCTGTCCTCCCCCTATTTTACGAGGCAATATTTTGCCAAAGTTCTGATTCCAAGCCTTATACATATATAACGTTTACCTACCTATTCCTGGTCATCTATACTGATATTTTTACTCATTTGTGCTGTTTTACTATCCAGCTATGTTTTCTACTTTTATATCGGTAATCTATATAAAAGTTGAACAAATAGCTGGAGGGGCCCGAGTGCAGGATACATTATTATGACCCCATGTCCATGTGCTTATGTTTATTAACAATTTAATTAAATCTAGCAAAATCGATTCATATTCCGAATTTCTGGTACGTGCTCATGTTTTTAAACAGCAACAAAATCAATTTATCAATAACATGTCCCTTTACGTTTGCTATGTATATTAGATACGTCAAAAAGTGATTATATACAAAGAATAAGAAGGAAAAAAAACAGTTACTGTACTTGAAGAATGCAGTAATTATGTAATAACTAACGAATTTACTATGACTAGAAAACTTTTTAGAAAGGATGTCCAAATTGGCCTGTTTGAGTCACTGATTGGATCATCAGAATACAAAGATCAAATTAATGGAACAAAATCTTCTACAGAAACTGTACTTTTTTCATTTATCAAACTGATAAAAGAAATAAGTACCAAGAACAAAAGGCCATGCTTTTTATTGCACTAACGGGATAAAAAAATGTGTGGACTTTAACGGTGTTTTTTTTTTGTGGACTTTAGCGTAACTTGTTATTGTGGACTTTAACGGCGTTTTCTTATGGACTTTAGTGGAGGTCATTTTGTTGACTTTAGCGAAAGTTTGTGGACTTTAGCGGCGTTATGGACTTTAACGGAAATTTATTGTGGACTTCAGATGAATTCTGGACTTTAACGGTGCCACAGAGTGCATTTGCTTCTAACCTAAACGATGTAAACGATTACGCGCGTAGTCGTTTAATCCATTTGTTTCTTACATTTTTTGGTCAACGTTGACATCGTTCACATAAACGATGTACGCGCAAAATAGTCACGTAGTCGTTGATCGTTTATCGTTGAGACGTGCAAACGATGCATTTGTTTCTGCATCTGTCGTTTAAATAATTACGATCACGTATTGTTTTCGCAAAGTCCTGGTTACTCATATCCCGCACTTTTACCTGTTTGTTTACAGTGCGTGTGTGTTATCTATTTCTGTCTCACTGCGCGGGGTCGATAAAGTTCATTAAACGAAGTATTTGTTTCTAGCAGCTTAACGTTTACTAAACGATCATAGTCATCGATGACAAAATTTCGGGTCAGAAACAAATGCACTCTAAATTTCATGTCCTTTGTGCCAACTATACTATCCCATCAAGTCCCTAGTGCGAAATCTTGTTTTAGAGCGCTAATTAAGGTGGTCCTTTGCGGTATTTCTATAGACCCCTTTTTCAACATTTTATTTTCTTCCGTATTATAGTATGTACAGGCAGTCTATGTAAATGATTGACAGGAAACGAAAATAGTTAATTGAGGCCATATAATTAGTCTCTGTTGTATTGTTTTAAAAACTTCAAATTCGAACAAAAAGAGAACTTCAAGAGAGGAGTTGCCAAATTAAAAAGGAAAATTGTTGAGTAAGAAAAAAATTCTGTTGAATATCTACTTTTAGAAACATTATGTTAATATAAGCATATATCATATTTCAAATGGAAATTGATTTTCTTGAGATATAGCTTGAAATAATGCACGTTTCAGCTATTAGTATTTTAGCATCTTAGGACGGTGTAAGTCATAAAAATCCTATTAAAAAGCATTGAATCAGACCCGATGTACTGAATTTTCGGCTATCTATGCGAGAAATATTTGCCACTGACGCTCAATTGTTGATTTAGAATTGGGCTTTACATTACTATGATATATGGATAAAAACTATTTTACCAAGCGTTATGCACCACTACAACTTTGTTAAGCAATTGCTAATGATTAATATTTTATAATTGGAATGGCGAGTATACACATTTCGCGAAAACATCTTTACGGTTCTGACATTATTAAGATTAAACTTTCGAAATTCAGATAAGTAAACAGAAGAATAGTTAGAAAATGGCGACTATAGAAACCTAAAGACCAGGAAAATGAGCAAAACCCAACGGATAACGAGGTTATGCGGTCAGACAGTCGAACATGCCGACTTTTTAAAAGGTGTGGGTTTCTGTTCCGCAGTGAGCTTATATAAAACCAAGGATTTGTATAGTAAGAAAACCGACATTTTGGTCTTAGGTAGAGAGTTGTCTCATAAGCAGTCATACCACATCTCCTTTTTTTTATAATTTTCCAATAAACCGTGTTTTTTTTTAATTTTTAGATCACTTCTGGTGAAGCAGGAAAGCTAGACGGGTGTGGTCAGAAACCGGAATTTTGTTTTCATTCACGTGTCATTTGTTACTCATTTCTGGCTTGAAATTGAAATTTTGATAATTCTTCACCAACGGACTTTTTAATTGAACAAACTGAAAAAGTGGATCTCAAAATTGATTTTATGTCACATAGTATGCAAAGGTTGCTTTGGCTTGAGGCAATAACTCTTTTTTAAGCATTTCGTTTAAATGTGGTCATTAAACACAAGATTTGAGCAAAACAGAATAGTATCTTTATATTTTATATGAGAAACAAACTTTGCACATTATGTTTAATGTGACATGTTTTTTGTCCATGAGTATATCATGGGCATACATATATGAGGGAATGGATGGGGATCCTTCATTTCTGTATTAATTTCTTTAATTTTTTGGGTCAATTTTCTCTATTCTTTATAATGTTTGCCCTTTATTCTCTATTCTTTATATTTTAGCTCCCCACTATTCTCTATGTTTTTAGTCCATTGTTCTCCATTCTGAATATTTTTAGCTCATTGATCTCTATTCTGTAAACCCCTATCTAGACGCTCATATATTCTGAGAAGGGAATGAAAAAAAAAACCCGATTATTTAGAAAACATACCTTTTATCTTGCTTAGGCTGTGCGTTGTTCTTCAATGACCAAGGAAACCAGAAACTGAAGAATTTAATTAGGGAAAAAACCTTCCCATATTCATTAACAGAATAAGCATAGACTGGAATAAAAGAGACAAAAAGTGGAGGGGGGGGGGGGGGGGTTAAACGGAAGACTCAGAAAGAATTGGTTAACAAATTAAAATCACGTTGGGGAAATTTTAGATTTAATTTTGGTCACATTTCTATAACTTTCAGCTTCTTGCATAATTACCAAATCTTATATATACACTAATAATCTTTCTTTTTTGGGGTATGTACTAAATATTTAGATAAAAAACGAAATTGGAAATTATTGAATCCTGTATTTTTAAAGATCTGTTTATATTGAAACAATCATTGATAAAAAAACAAAGAAAAATCAAATAAAAATTCAGATGGCATTTTTATAACCATCAAGTGTGCAGGGTTTACTACAATAAACGGAGCTCCGTGTATCTTAGGCACCCAGCTGTGAAATCAAAATTCTTCTCGCATGCTGTTTTTACATATATAAAATAAGGGTTTACTACAATAAACGGAGCCATCGCATCGTGTATCTTGGACACCCAGATGTGAAATCAATTTCATCTCCCGTGCTTTTGAAACTACATGTCTTTACAGGTAAAATATTTGTATATAAGATACAATTAACGGACCTGTATTAAAACAATGTAAGATTAATTTGATTAATCTGTACACATTCAGATCTACTCACATTTCCTAGAGTCGCATAATTAAAAACAATTAATGATTAAAAAAAAAATGATAACTGCAATGAACGATAAGAAAAATAGGTATAAAAGCGGGAACAGTG